ATAATAATAATAATAATAATAAATGACACAGCGCTCAACCCCGAGTAAAGTACACCGGCTCTGAACGCTTTACAATACAGTACAACGTACAACAGTGACATAAAATGTTGTGTTCTGACTGAAAGAAAATTACTCCAAATATCCATCTTATTAATTTAAAACAGAAACGACTTCAGCTGACATTTGAATAAATCAAAAGATTTGATCTCTCTTAAAGTCCTCGGTAAAGCATTCCAGATCTTGGTGCCTTGGTAGTCAAATACCCTTTCACCATTGTTATAAGTTTCAAAGATGGTAAAAAAACATTCTTTTTGTCAACTGATGACTTTAAAAGGCGAGGTGGAATGTACAGTCTTAACAGATTTGATAAATATGATGGTGCATTATCATTCAAACATTTTTGACATAGGTAGCCAACTTGTACACAATTCTTTTCTCAACAGGAAGCCAATGCAATGTCCGTAGTGATTAGTGGCATGATCCCTTCTCTGCCTGAGTTAGTTGGCACACTGGACTCTTCAATTTCTCTGAAGAGTTCCTTGTAAAATAAATGTTACGATCATCATGTTAACTTGGCAAAAACTCTATTGTATCGGGGATGGACATTACATTCGGGGGTTCCGTCTCCTTGTTCAGATTCTGGCACCTTGCGTTGGTGTTTCACCACGTGTACACACACACACACACACAGACATACACACACACACACACACACACACACACACACACACACACACACACACACACACACGTACGCTTACAATCACATGCATAATATAAATAAGCAGAAATATAAACAATAATAATCTTAAGATATGCTCGCTCAATGTTAACTGATGCATGCTCTAAGGTCGTAAGTATACTTATACAAGATGGTTCAGATGTGTATACTATACACTTCACTTACTACTGACGCAAAGGGTTATTTATATCTATCGTCCTTATCTCCCCTTCTTCTTTTTATGTTTGTTACTCTCTTGTAACACCTCTAATCTTCTGGCACTCCTATGTCCTTATGCAGTTGCGAGCGCCGTAAAACCTCTACTAAAACTTCACTGAATTGAAAGGCTATTTATATAAATTAAAGTACTGGGCTCCCGAATAGCAATCCCCAAGATGATCTCTATGAGATCACAAAACCTTGAGTTCCTAATAAACCTCTGTCTCCCATAGGTTGTTTTGTCTCATTCATAGTTAGACTGTCGTCTGCTACCAGACTGTAAATGAAAACTTGTTTGTATGGTATACATATTATCTGTGAAGATGTTTACTATATCTAATGTTGTGTCAAAAATTGATGATTATCGTGAGATGATGATGATGATGATGATGATGATGATGATGATGATGATGATGATGATGATGATGAGGATGATGATGATGATGGTGATGATGATGGTGATGAGGATGATGATGATGAGGATGATGATGATGATGATGATTATGATGATGATGATGATGATGGTGATGATGGTGATGATGATGATGATGATGATGATGAGGAGGAGGAGGATGATGATGATGATGAGGATGAAGATGATGATGATGATGATGATGAGGATGATGATGAGGATGATGATGATGATGATGATGATGATGATGATGAGGATGATGATGATGATGGTGATGATGATGGTGATGAGGATGATGATGATGAGGATGATGATGATGATGATGATTATGATGATGATGATGATGATGGTGATGATGGTGATGATGATGATGATGATGATGATGAGGAGGAGGAGGATGATGATGATGATGAGGATGAAGATGATGATGATGATGATGATGAGGATGATGATGAGGATGATGATGATGATGATGATGATGATGATGATGAGGATGATGATGATGATGGTGATGATGATGGTGATGAGGATGATGATGATGAGGATGATGATGATGATGATGATTATGATGATGATGATGATGATGG